CCATGGGAATAACCTTCCTGTCCTGGAGGTGCTCTGTGTGATGGGGTTGGGGATGTGCTCTCTGCAAGGCACCTCAGCCCTGCAAATGTGTGCAGTGAACATTTGGGGCTGCCTGGGCACTGCGTGGATGTGATGAAAAAGCAGGGGACTTGTCTGAGGTATCCTTGCTCTTGGATCTAGGCAATGCCCCCTTCTCCTGGAGATGGGTGGGAAGGTGTGGAGGAGGCTCTGGGCTCAAGCCAAGGTGATTTCTCCCTCATGACAATCTTCTGTCTGAGTCTTCTTCCTCAGCACAGCTCCACCCACAGCAAAAGGATCTGCCTTAAGTGCTTGTGGGTCTGCTGACCCTCTGCAGCACCAGGGTCCTCCCAAGAGTACAGCACGATTTGAGATCACCATCTGTAAGGGCATTTTCCAAGGCAAAGGGCCATACTTCTGGGTAGAGACATAGCAAGGGAAGGACTGATAGTCACTGGCTCTGGAGTAGCCGGAGCTGTTGTCCTCACCTCCAAGGGCCAGGGCCTGAAGGAGGCCAACAGGCAGTGGGTCCTATCCTCTTTGTTCTCTAGAAATGAGAAAGGGTCCCTCAAAACAAGATGTCTCTGAGAAAATGCCACAATGAAAGGATCATCATGGGCAGCCAAGAGGCAGTGCTCCACAGAGGGAGAGAGGGAGGCAAGTTGCCCCAAGGTGGTTTTGTTGGGCTTCATTGCCCAGGGATCAGAAAACAGCAAAGGAATAGAGGGGAAAGGAAAAAGCAGAAGGAGAGAATGAGGGACAGGCCATATTCTCAGAGAATCCAGTCTGGCCCCTCCCAAAGGACTGACACCATTAGTAGCAGTGGGACCAGCTCAGCCTCTCTCAAACCAGTGGCCACGATCTCTGTCGTTCTGTCTGGCATCATCTTCTGGATTCACAGGGCTCCTTGTCCAGTCTGTCTGCAGTGTCTGTAGCAAGGGGGGCACCTTCTGCTGCCACAGTAGTAGCTGGTGATGCAGGAGAGGTCACAGCCCCTGGAGTTGAGGGGCACTCTGTCACAGCTGAGGATGCAGTGGAGGTGGAGGATCTCACCTGGGAGAGAGGGCAGGCAGGAAGCAGAGCACAGGGACACCTGAGGAACTGTCTGTAACCCCACTAAAAGGAAGCAGAGGCACCTGCTGGGTGGGGAGGTAGAGACTATGCAAGGAGAATGAGGGATCCTTTCCCTGAGCACAGAGCTGTTCCCTTGGATAACAGCAAGGCCCAAGGACACCCCTGTCTTCCTGTAGCAAGGAGCCACATCAGCCCAGTCCCAGCCCCTCTCCATATCAGCCCTCCATCTGTACAGCCCTCAGGACCACATTGTTCAGCTGAGATTGTCCAGGAAGAATGGGAGACCCAGGTGAAAAGGGGGATAAATCTCTTTTGTCTACCTCTGGAGTCTCTGAATAGGAACTCTGAACAGCTGTGTGGTCTCCCAGAGCCATGCAGTGCTCCCCAGAGATCGGCTGGATGTATGGATTTCCTCTGAGAGGACTCATTCCACCCCGACAAGGCTCATGTCTTCAAAACCTTAAGACAATTTATCATATGTGTTTGTGACTTATAGTGAGGCATGACATTGGCATCACTAGAGTGCCAAATGGATCTTTTGAAGGAATTTCCAGTCCAAGCATTTACTCTGTCTATGGGACTTCAAACCAATACAAAAGTTTCTGTGTTTGGAGGAAAAGTCTGTACAAAAAGATCTTGGTCTCAAAACTAGGAATGGTGGGAAATACTTTAAAGGCATCAGAAGGGTCCTGTTCCATTTCTCATGCCAGTGTTGAGCTTGAACTCCTAACTTTTGGAGATGAAGTCCTGGTATGAACAGGAAAGCCTTGGAAGGAAAATAAACTTGGAGGATTCACTTTCTCTTTCTACATGAGTTTGCTCAGAAGTAATCAATCAAACAAACAAAACCCAGTTCTGATTCTGTGTTTTTAACTGAAGAGTTATATTAGCAAGCTATATTAGATCTTTGTGTTCCTACGCTTCCCAGGGATTCTTGGCCACTTTATTGGATTCAAAGAGTCCTCCCAGAACAGCCCCTGCCCATTTCATGTCAGCAATGCCTTGGGAGCTGTGGCACAGCCGAGGGCTGTCCAGTTGCCCATGGGCAGGAGGGTGTCTTCCACCCTTGGGCAGTGTAGAAAGGTGCTGCTCATTGCTCAGAGTTGCTGCCATGGGGCATCTGGTGCTGCCACAGCTCATGAAAACTGGCAGCAGGAACAAGTCAGGTGCTGCAGCCTGGGGGCACAACACCCCAAAACAACACTGTGTGGCCCATGAAAGGCCAGTGCACTCAAGGAAACAGTGGCTTAAAGCACTAAGTGAGCAGGAGCCACAGCCCTGAGGGCACTGCAGTGACTGGCAGGAGCAGAGCTGTCCATGGTGATACCCCATGTCTGGAAGTAAGGGCACCTCAGCCCCAGGGAATGTGGTGCCCTGAAAGCAGTCAAAGGGGAGGGTGATGTCACAGAACAAGGTATGGCAGAAGGTTTGAAAGATTAATTACATTAGGATAAATAAGCTGTTGTTTGACTTGTATATAATTTGGATATATCCACCTGCACTTAACACGTGCAGACCCTGCCCCCCCTCTGCCCCTGCCATGGCTTTTCCCCTGCCTCTATATCTGTCATGTTCTGCTCTTTCCCAGATTTCCAGCCTGCCCAGCAAGGCAGGGGGAGGCAAGGACAGGAAAGAGAGGTAGCCCTGGCATAGGCAGGCTCTGTGCCTTTGAGCAGAGGGGCCCAAGCAGCCCTCCTTTGCCCTACAAGTTTTTCACAGCTCAGGCCAGACAGTGAAAAATTTCTCCTAGCCATGGCCCCAGGGTGCTGTACTCCATGGGTCCCAGGCACACCAGGAGTCCGGAAGCAAGGAAGAGGGTAGCTCTGGCTATTGCGTGTCTGATCAAAAAGCCAGCAGTGCAGACAGAGGTCCCTGCTCCCCTGGCCTTCAGAAAATTTCCCAGGATTTGGCAGCTGGAGGGTTTTGGGCTTCTCCCTGCAACTGCTGAGCTCTCTAGGCTGTCAATCCCATGTCTGTCACATGGCTGGAAAGGTCTGAAAGGCTTTTGACAACCTTGTCTGGATACAGGGAAGTCCATTCAGATGTGGTGAAGGGCCACATCCAGGCTTTTCTTGACCATCCGGTTGAGCCACCATGACCCAGGGACACCTACTGGCAACTCAGATGGGTGTGAGGCTGCCACAGAATGGCACCAGTTTCCCCAATTGTAGCTGAAATCAGCTCTTGACTGGCCTCAAGTGTGTCAGATCTTGGGAGTTTTGGAGTCTGCTCCCCACAGCCCAGGACCTGCCAGCTCCTTACTTGCTCCAGCTGGGAGGCAGAGACTTTCACAGTCATGGCCAGGATACCAACAAGCACTGTGGTGTCAGGGCTCCTGGATGGTCATGAAGATGGTCTGTCCTCTCTGAGGGAGAAAGGTATTTCCCTTTCTAAAAAAAAAATAAGGAGGAAAAAAGTTGTGGATCAAGGTAAAGACAGAGGGATTACTTGCTGCTTACCGACAGAGGTAAACCCAGGCTTGACTTGAGGTTTATTTTACCAATAAACCAGAGAAACATTGCAAGAAAATGCAAAAAAACCCCACAAAACTGAACTAAAATGCCTTCACTCCATCCCCAATTCTTTTTCACAGACACAATGCCTCTTGCTCATTCCTCGTTCTCCTATTTCCTCCACCCTTAAGCAGCACAGCGGGATGCACAATGTGGGATTGTGGTCAATACACAACAGTTTCTTTCTATGCAAAGATGGACTTTACCAGACCTGATCATGAAAAGCAGCAAGATTTTGGCAGTTTGCCTAAAGTTCACATCTTCTTGCCTTTCCAGACACAGTTGCTAGGCATGCAGGCTCAATCTTTCTGGGGGGGGTGTGGAAGTCCTGGTGCTTGAACACAAAAGGAGTTTGACTCAAATAATGTTTGACTTCCCTTGTGCCACACAGAGAGTCTGTTCTACATCTCCAAGCAGAGCACAATCCAGATCCCAGTCCCTTCACTCCAGCATCCATTTGAGGCAAGGTGCTGCAACTGCCTCACTCAGCACTAGGTTGATGAGCTGTTGAAGTGCATCTGGCACTGGCCTGGACATGAGGAGCCCCTGTCCCATCCCAGGCACAGCAACACTCCAGCATAAGGGGATCAATTCAGGGGCTTCAATTCAGTGGTCTGATAGAACCGCTCAAAAGTCTGTACGCTCATACAAGGACAGGAAAAGTTCAGCAACTGGGGACTCTGCTGAGGAGACGCTGGGATGTCCCCCCACACGGCAGTCCTTGGCTGTGCAGGTGAGAAGCACAAGAGTGATGACCATTTCCTGAAAACCTTACCACAAACAAGACCACAGGAATGAACATCACCTGCCTGCATGAGATGCCACCAGGCCTTGAACTGAGCATTCTGCCCATGTTGACATGTTAATGTCCCGGAAATCCTTGGGCTTGCCCTCCAGCACTTACAGAAGCCCTCAAGCAGGAAAGAATGTTCCATGTGCCAGGAAATGAAAAGGCAGCAGTGCAGGAAACCAAGACACAGCCCCTACCATTAGCTGGGATGGTTCACAACTGACATGAGCTGGTCAGAAAATTATGACTTGCACAAAGGTGCCTGTGGGCCTGGGGCAGTGCAGGACTGCTATAAAAGGCAGCCCAAGTCTCTGCTCTCGCATCCACTTCTCTCACCTCCTTCTCCTCGGGAATCAGGTGAGTGGGAAGCCTCTTCTCCACCTGCTTCATCTAACACAGACTGTGCTACTCCAGGGCTGGGAGCTGCGTCTGCTGGGAGAGGGAAGGGGAGAGAAGGTGTTGTGCAGAGAGAGGCTGGGACTTGGCTGAGGAGGCTGCTGGGCTTTGGGCTGGGCAGTGTCATGTGGTGCAGGAGGTGCCTTGTCTGCAGGGGAGTTGGGTGCAGGGCTGCTTCTCATGTGTGTCTGCTTTGTGCTTCTCCCTGCCCTGTGTGCCAGGTGCCCCTGTGAGCCAGAGACATGTCGTGCTGCCAGCCCTGCAACCCTTGCTGCCAGCCCTGCGGCCCGACCCCGCTGGCCAACAGCTGCAATGAGTGCTGTGTCAGGCAGTGCCAGGACTCCACCGTAGTCATCCAGCCCTCCCCCGTGGTGGTGACCCTGCCTGGGCCCATCCTCAGCTCCTTCCCACAGAACACTGCTGTGGGATCCTCCACCTCCGCTGCCGTTGGCAGCATCCTCAGCTGTGACGGAGTGCCCATCAACTCCGGGGGCTTTGACCTCTCCTGCATCACCAACCGCTATTGTGGCAACAGGTGCCTTCCCTGCTAAAGCTGTTGGCAATGTCCTGGGGCAAGAACCTCCAAGACCTCACAACATGGTGTTGGACAAGACATTGTATTTAAAGCTTCACGGCATTGTTCCCTTCTTCTAGTCTCTGCTCTCTTTTTTTCCTTTGCTTTCTGTGTCTCCCCAGGCCACCCCAGGGGGGCCTGTCACCATCCCTCCCTCTGCAGGGCAGGCAGATGGACACCCTGCAGGAGCTCCACTGTGTCTTAGTGACTGCTGTTGGTGCCCTCTGTGAGCTACTTCTTTAGACTCATTAAAGTTTTTGCATCCCAGCCTGGACCCGAGTCCTCCTTCATTGTCTGACATCTCTTACATTCTGCTCAAGGAAAAAGGTGGAGGAAGGAGAGGGTGGGACTCAATGCAGTGCATTTTACTTTTCACAGATAAGTTATACAGCAGCTCTTAGTTCTTTGCTGCTTTTTATCAGGAGCCATGCAAACTCAGTGTGACCTCTCTGTAAGGACTGCACCAGTTCACTCTAGCCAGCCCTCACCCCTTACCTTGCTACCTAGACAAATTTGAGGGCTGGGAAATCAGCAACTGTATGAAGCTTATAATTGATAATTGATAATTGATAATTGATAATTGATGGATTCTGTATTTGCGATGGGGCCACCTTGGCTGTATGGACAGACTGGGGAATAAAGTGCTGGAGAACACCACTGCAGAAAGGGATCTGGGAGTCTGGGTCAGTGGCAAGTTGGATATGGGTCAACTGTGTGACCTGGCAGCCAGAATGGCCAACTGTGTCCTGGGGGGCATCAGGCACAGCATTGCCAGATGGTCAGGGGAGAGGAATGTCCCACTCCGCTCTGCACTAGGGCAGCCTCACCTAGAATATTGTGGCAATTTTGGGCACCGCAATATAGGAAGGATATAAAGCCATTAGAGACCATCCAAGTAGGGACAGGGAGATGGTGAAGGGTCTGGAGGGGCCATTGTGCTGGTTTAAGAGTTAACCAGCAGGGGAAATGAACTCAACTCAAAGGAGAGATTATAAGTCAGAATAACAATTTACTAAAATAATACAGTAAGTACAATAATACAAACAAACAATTGGTCTTAACCCACAAAACCCAAATGTATAACCCAGTACCCTGGGGCATGAACAACATGGTGTTCCTTGGGCCCCGCTTGAGTCCAAAGTAAAGGGAGAGGGGAAGAACCTGCTGGTGGGAGAGCTGTTGCAGTCTAGTCAAAAGTGGTGATTGCAGTGAGATGCTGGGGGGAGAGCTGTTGCAGTCTGGTCAAAGTGGTGATTGGAGTCCAGTATAGGGTGATCCAAGTCTGTTTGAGAGCGATGAGCCACAGTCCTTCTCTGGATCCCACAGAGTGGTTAAAAATGTTCCAAGACTCCAAGATTATATATCCTGCAATTCAGGCAGGAATGCTCAGCACTTCCCTCAGGGCGGGGAGTTCCACAAAGGGTGTGAGGACAGGAGCATCCTCCTATCTCACAGGCCTCTTAACACCTAGTTTATAGCCTGAGGAGTCAGGCTCTATGGGCAGATGGTGTAAATGGTTCATTGATAACAGTTTCTGGGAAATGGCATGGAAGGCTATAGAATACACAGTTTTGGGTTACACCCATACCCTGATGGACTGGTCTCAGTTGTCCTAACTAGGACAGCCATACAAGAAGCAGTTGAGGGCACTTGGTTTTTTCAGCCTGGAGAAGAGGAGACTGAGGTCAGACATCATCGGGGTCTGCAACTTCCTCACGAGGGGCAGCAGAGGGGCAACTCCAATCTCTTCTCAGTGTTGACCAATGACAGGATCTGAGGGAAGGGCATGAAACTGTATCAGTGGGTGTTTAGGTTGCATATTAGGATAAGGTTCTTTCCCTAGAGGGTCTTTGGGCACTGAACAGGTTCTCCAGGGCAGTGGTCACGGCCCCAAGGCTGCCAGAGCTCAAGGAGTGTTTGGACAACACTCTCAGGGACAGAGTGGGATCGTTGGTTTTCTTCTGTGCAGGAGTTGGACTCAATGAACCTTATGAGTCCCTTCCAACTCAGGATATCCTGTGTTTCTCTGATTCTAGCTTTTGTGAGACAATCCCTTGATGAGGAGTCTCTCCCTTTCTGCCTGAGACCTGTGCAGAAGGAACAACCCATCAGTAGCTTTTCCTACTGACCTGGGGTCAGATGTTAGGGAGGAGGAGCTATTCAGTCCAGAAAGCTGTGGCAGAATCACAGAAGATGATGCACCTGCACAATCAGGATCAGATGTATCAAAAGGGGAAATGTGCACTTAGACCACTCACATTCCCACTTCCCACCTGTACCCACATATTCCAATCTAATTGTCATTTAGTCTTACAAATTTCCTACTTTTCTCTCATGATGCTCTCACACACACCTGTGGATACAACCAAGCACAGGGACAGAATCAAAACCGTCATGCCATTGGGTTACCAGCTGCCACATTTTATCCCTTCTATATGTCAGAGGAAAGCTACTCTTTCACCTTCCTGCCTCTTCCCTAGACATATTCAAACTCTTTTCTCCAGATACCTCCTACTCTTTGACATCTTCTGTTTTTTTCTGTCCTGTCCCTGATGATCTTCTGCCATCCACTGCTCTGCCAGATTTGTCTGCACCCAGCCCTGTCATGGAAAGGGGAGGGACTTATCCATCTGTGTCTGCTTTGCTCCTGGGTGGAGAAAAGGGGTAGACAGAACACCTGAACCCCATGGGTGTCCATCAGTCTCTCCCTACAACTGCATTTTCTCTCCCTTGCTCCCCCCAGATGGAGGACATTCCTCAAAAGAAAGATCTCTGTAAACAGCACATGCTGCAGAAACCCCCATCCAGGGAGAGACACAGTCCCTCATTGCAGCAGGAGGATGACAATCCAACGCAACCCTATGCTGTACAAACAGCCCTTCTCTGACCTTTCACATAGGCACACAAACATCCTCTGGCAGCCTGTGCCATGCTGACCTCCACACTCCACCTCCTTGGCAAGTCCAATGAAAACCCTATTTGAATACCTTTCAGTAAATGCCAAGGACATTCAGCTCGGAGCACTCCTTTACTACTCTGCTAGGGGTCTCTGCTAGTGAAGTGAGCAGGAGTTGCAAAGTTTCAGTTGTCAGCACAGCAGCTTTCAGGATCACATTGTTCAGGGGGGATGGGAAGCCCAGAGGACACAGGAGACAGGGATAAAACTTTCCTATCTACCTCTGGAGTCAGTCACTTTGGATACTACCTTGCATCCACTCAGGAAATTCTCAGTAGTAGCCAGATGGGATAAAACTACTACCAGAGCATGGAAGGAGCAGGAGTGAGGGAGCTGGCTTAGGGATGGGTGCAGGTGTGGGTAGTGGTGTTCCCAGGAATGTAAGCCTCTGGGGAAAGGAAGGCTGGGGGCTGCTGGAAATGTAAACAACTGAACTTGGCAGGAATCACACAGGAGGAGTCAGAGCAGGCAGCTGCAGCTTCTGCAGATGAAAGGCGTCACCTGGCAAAGGCCAAACCATTTTGCCAGGAAGCTTGCTTTTGAGAAAAATCTTCTGAGAGGAGAGACAGTGGGTGGTTCCCCCTGTGTGGTGATGCCAGCTGATGCAGTTCCCCTTTGCTCCCTGAGGCCATGAGGCCCTGAAGCCTCATATAAGGCCAAATGTTTGAGAACCACTGTTTCCAGGCAGAGCCTCATCTGAGGCTTGTGGAGAGATGGGTTTATGCCATGGCTAGATTTCTGTGTCGCTGTTGCTGGTGGGGATTCTTGGCCCTTCCAGAAATGATGCTGTTTTATGGAGCCATTGACTCCAGCCCTGATATTCACCACCTTCCTTATCCCAGCTCCCCATGCTCTGATTCCTCTTCCCGTAGCTCCTGGCTCAGGTCAAGGACCTAATGGGGCAGAGGACTCCCCCATCCCCATAGAACCACCAGAACCTGTAACCTCAGAGCTTTTAAATGAGACAGGAGCAAGGACCCTGGGAAACAGCTCAGTCCCTGGAGGCTGCCTGGTGGTAGCATGAAATGTTTCGTCTGGGTTTGAGATTCTCCTCAGTGAGACTTGAGTGCTGTAGCCTTGCCTGTGTCCCCTCAATGCCTGGCACTGTTGGGGAGTGTAGGAGGCCGGAAAACAAACGGCTGGTGTGCGTGTGTCTCATACAGCAATAGCAGGATAGCAGTGGAGCCAACCAAGGACTGTTGGTAAGAAGGCACTGTGGGAAAAAACAGGATATGGCTGGAGAGGGGGCCATACAGAGGTAGGGCAGCTCTTTTCTGGGACAAACATCCTTTTTCTGGCTCCTGGAGCACAACACAGTACAGAGCAAGCACAGGAACAAGGTCGAGAGTCAGGCATGGACTGTTGACAAAAGGCTGACCCAGCAGAGGGAATCATTTGTGCAGTTTTAGGAGTCTGTTTATGTGCAGAAAGAAGTTACAGAATATCCTGCTTCCAAATGAATATCTGATGTAGAATATGCAGTTTTGAAATAAGAAAATGAAGTACTAAAAACATCACTGGCTTCTGAGAGGGAGACTGAATTAAAACTGGGAATCCATTATGACTGAGAATGATCATCTTAGGACTGTTCTTGCTTTGGCAGAGTGCAGGGAAAGACAATGATTGGAGAATTTGGATAGGAAAAAGCATAGGAGAGAAAAGAGAGGCAATAGAAGGGAGAAAAGCAGCTGAGTTATTACTGCTATTTAAAATTGAGCAACTTCAGAAAAAATTACAGGAAGAAAAAGAAAAATAAGCAAAATTTGGAAGAAAAGTTAGAGATGATGCTTAAGCAACATACCAATGCACTCAGAATTGTACAGATTAGAAAATTAACTGTATCACCTGAAGGCTGGGATGGAATTATAAGGGGTGATCCCTGTGATAATGAACTAGGGGGAAATTATTCTTTATCTCTTTCAAATTCACCCATGTCTGATGCCAGATCCACATCAAAACCCCGAGGTGGAGTGGGAAGCCATACATGAAAAATGGCCCATTTGATCTTCAGGGGCTGATTTGCAAGAGCATT